TCTAACGTCAGGTTCTAATGGCAGGCTCTAACGTCACGCTCTAATGCCAGGCTCTAACGTCAGGCTCTAACGCCAGGCTCTAACGTCAGGCTCTAATGCCAGGCTCTAATGCCAGGCTCTAACGTCAGGCTCTAATGCCAGGCTCTAACGTTAGGCTCTAATGCCAGGCTCTAACGTCAGGATCTAATGCCAGGCTCTAACGTCATGCTCTAACGTCAGGTTAGAGGTGCATGGGCTCACCATAGCCCGTGCTACTTGAAGCTTTTTGTTCCAGGTAGCGAATCTTCAGCAACAGTTAGAGGTGGCGGCTTCCCGCGTCACATGGTAGAGCAGACGAGCCTATATCGTCATCAGCCATACTCTTGAACCAATGGTCGTACCACAAGGGGCATTGGTCAATTTAATTTTTGGGGTGTCCTTAAAAATTCATATATAAGTTCATATTAGTATATATTATAGTTTTGTGTGCAGTTGGGCCTAAGATAGGTTATGTGTTTTAGTTCTGGGCGATGGCCGGGTACCCATCAGTTGGAGTACAAACCCACGGAACCGCCTACCTGCCGAAGCCGTAAATGTCAAAACATTACTTTAGTTCAAAATCCAGTTGGAAAAATCCTCACGAATAACTGCGGGGACTCCTTCGACAAGCCGCGGGCGTCCAGTCTCGTCGAGGCTACTAGAGAGACAATAGCCCTCCGGTAAATAGCTGCTACAAAGTTAATCGGTTTTAACCATTAACTAGGAAATGAGAGACAGTCTTGAATTAGTTACTTTCCTAACTCACTAAACGACGCTAAAATTCAAGTGGAGTCGGAGTCCACAGGTGAAAGGTCTTGAGTTTGGAGTCCCGCGGTAGAACAGAAACGTTTGAGGAACGTTTCCTTAATTTATTAATGTTTATACAAGAAAGTACATTGGGTTGTTAAAACACATACATCGGTAATTGAGTGTTTTATTCCTGCAAAGCCACTTACGCGCATTCCATTTTGCTCATCTTGCAGTAAATAGGTTCTCGAAAGTTAGGCGACTGTTGTGGGCTGTATCCCAAGAAAAATCCATAGTTGGCCTAGGGAAATACACTGATAAGCCTAAAAGACTTCTTGTCTCCGACTATGGGAAACGAGAAGGTGATCCAATGCATCACAAATGATGGTCTCTTCAGGACACTGTTGTGTTTCTCCTCCAAGAAGAGTTCGTTTTCTCATATGCGGCTCAAATGCTCGTTTTCTTCTATCCACATACGCATGATCTATTGTAAATAGGCATGAGATCCTTCTGTTCCCAATTGCGTATGATATTAACCGAGTGTACTTGAGGGCCTCGCCGGTGACAGGAAGCCGGCGCGTGTTAAAAAAAGTCCTTCAAAAAATCCTCCTTTTTATGAGGATTTTTTCAGCTTTCGGTGGGTAGGAAATTCCATGGGTTAATTATCCTATAGATGAAAATAGTATCTAATAATAATAATTTTTATTTAGGTAAGGTACATACATAAAGAGATTTTACAAAGTTTGTTGGCTTTATAGATAGAGCTAGTACATACAATGCCTAAAGCCACTATTACGCAAAGCGTTTCGGGCAGGATCTGTTGTCTGTCCTACGATTGCGACTTGTTGAGCTGGAAGCTCTTGAACCTTTTAAAGAAATGGTCTGGATAAATTATTTAGTTTTCAAGGAGCTCAGCTGTGGCATGTCTTGCTTGTAAAGCTAATGATGTGTTCTGAAACCCTCAAGTCGAACCTTTAATAGCACGAGAGATATTACTTAGTTCTGGGATGGCTTTGAATTGCTCAATTTTGTATCTATTACAGTGCAGTTATGTTGCTGAATTTACCTGAGGGCCATCATCACTCGACGGGATGGTGGCCTCAGGTAGATCATCACCTGATTATATCATCATCAGGAGGAATCAGATATCATCAGTTAGGCATCATCAGGAAATGGTGGGTCCCCTCCTTCAGGCGGCGGTGGTGGTGGTGGCCATTGTCTCCTCTAGCTGCTGGACTGGACACACTATCATCCTTCCTGCCTTTCTCTCGCCAGCTCTGGTAATCCCGCCCTCCTGCTAATGTGATGTTATAACGGGTTCGTCTCGCACCAACACGTCCTTCGCCAACACACCCCTCGCCAACACGTCCTTCGCCAACACACCCCTCGCCAACACGCCCTTCGCCAACACGCCCTTCGCCAACACACCCCTCGCCAACACGCCCTTCGCCAACACACCCCTCGCCAACACGCCTCTCGCCACACAGATGCCATCCTGCTACACAGTGAGGGGGGGGGGGGGAAGGTGCCATATAGAGCCATCCTGCTATACAGTGAATGGACGAGCAACAATACGGGAGATAAGGATCACTGTCGGCTTCTGAATGTTGTTCTTATATTAACCGCTCTACCAACTGTCAATAGTGAGCCGGATGGAGACTTATTCTGGTAAATACTGCTGTTAGATCACGCTCGATAAGGGAAGGAGGAGAGAGGGAGAGAGAGAGAGAGAGAG